GAAAAAGAATTGATTACAAAGCACTTGAAGAGCACACGGCCATGAAAAAGAAGGAGGGACTGGAAGTGACACATGACAAAGGAAAGAAACAGGTAATGTTCAGGTAACTACCTCAGGTTTGAGAACAATCTCAGGGAGAAAAATTTCAAAGGGAAAGCAGTCAGCAAAAAAATCCTGGGAGGCATAGCAGAACAAAGAAATACATAGAAAATAGATCAGAGGAATGAAAAGCACAGGGACAGGTGAAAAGACCATAGTGCTTAGAGGAGAATTTGCAATGAAAGAGACAAGAATGGAAAGACAGGAAATTATGCTCAGTAGAAAAAACATCATCTCATAGGCAAGTAGCTGGCTTGTTTCCTGCCTCACTATGAACATTAGCAGAGAGTAGGCGTGTGTCTGAGATAGAAGTGCATTTATTTTCAAAACAGATTTTCTTGGCAAGAATTGAGATCTAGACCTTCACTCACCAGTTAATTTTATAGTAGCCACCAGGCCACAGTAAATACAAATCAGGCCCTGACAGTGCAGCGAGTGGTGCAGAGGCACAGGCATCCCTGCCAGGACTCTCACTGCCCCTGTGACATGGGCTTGCTTTTAAATCGGTGGAAATGAGACAGAAGATTCTGGACTGCAAAGCCAAGTCGTGATCCACACAATTCCTCCAAGGCAAGAAAATTCTTGTAGATGAAAGTACGTGAAACAGCAGTCATATTTAACAAGCACAAGGCAAACGTAGGCAAGGAAATACAGGGCAGGTTAAAATTATTTTCTCTTCACTTATGGTAATGAAAGTTATGTGAGAAGCCAAAAATCCAGACTTTAAACAGTTCATGATGTTTCAAGCACATTAAAATGAACCGAACGCCTTTTCAGAACATTAATTAAGCTTTTCAAATAACATGTGAATGAATATCTAGACATTTAAAAATCCTTGAGATAAAGGTTACTGAAAATGATTGAAAATGCTTATATAGAAATTCTAAAGCTAAGAGAAACTGGAATTCAGTGCAAAATATTTAACCCCAAGTTTAGTTTATATCCTTATTATTATCACTGGGTTTTACAATCTTGCATAAACATCTTTATTATCAAGGACTGAATGCAGTCTTTGGTTCTGAATTCCAGTACTTTGTGAACTTTTTAAAGCCTTTGTAACTCAACAACTGTACTTCTTAGTAGAAGCATTACAAAAGTTACAGTGATCCTCTCTCTTGCTTTTTTCAGCCCCAAAGCCCAGAAGCCCTATAACCAGACGTGCAGAAAAAAAATGAAATGGCTCCAAAGACATCAAGCCTATAAAGAACCACTTAGGTAGTGGTTCTTAGTCCTCAGCTGCAGGAGCTGGCAGGTCCAATCTAGCTCTGCTACCTTTAGCTGACTCAAGCTTCTTGAATTGTATAGGTCTATGCAAACTATGTACAGTCATTGTGTAGACAAACTGTAGTACAGATCAGTCGCTCTTGGCTAAACAGAAGTTACTTGGCCATAAAGAGGACTACATGAGGAAAGACAAGCAATGGTTTCTGCTCCTTTGTTGTTGCATGTACCCTGAAAGAGCTGCTGCCCTCAGCGCTCAGATCACTGAAGCTTGTCTGGGGATTCCAGATACCATCTCACAGCTCTGAATACTTTCATCTGTCCCTCGTTCACCTTCACCTTTCCTTGTCAGTTACAGTTTGCTAGCAGACACTCTGGATTGAGGAAGCACGCTGCTTGTTCTGGGTCACTTCAGGATTACCTATGCTAATCCCTTTTTTACCCCTTAGAGATCAAATAATGTTGGGATTGATCAAAATCTATTAAGAAAAAGGTTTTACCTGCCAAATTGCCTCTTGATTTTAAGTCAAACACCTTGATACTACAGCAGTACATGAGATACAGGAGTGAAGGTACCTGAGCCCTTCCTCCCGCAAGGTGGAGTATGTGGGCAGCCTGCCATGCCAATGCAAAGCCTGAAGCATGCAGTAAGATCAATGGACGTACACTCACCCATACTGCTGACCCCAGAGCAGGGTTAGGTCCTTATCAGTTCAGAGACAATCTAATTTCATTGCCTGAACTGAGAGACCAAAGAGTAAAACAAAAAGAAACTGACAAAAGCTATGTACAATATGCTTTTTTTTTTTTTTTTTTTTTTTTTTTTTTTTTTTAATTTTTAAAAACAGATTTCAACATGCTAGTTCTGTCTTTGAAAGGATCTCAGTGTGGGAACATCTCATGTGCACTAAAACCTGACCCACAAGGGAACTCCATGCTGTTACAGCTCTGACGTGGCATGACATAATACCGCCTAGAAATCTGCTGCGATCTCACAGAACATAACATTGCGGTTGCACAGTGTGGGGTGCACAATCATAGCATGGCTGAGGTTGAAGGGGACCTTAAAGATCATCCAGTTCCAACTCCTATTTGTGGGCACTAAGTCAGGTTGCCCAGGGTGCCATCCATGCCAGCTCTGAATGCCTCCAAAGGATGGGGCACCCACAGCTTTTCTGGGCAACCTGTTTCAGTGCCTCACCTTTACCTCTGAGTAAAGAGTTTTCTCCTAACATCTAACCTAAGTTTCCTCTCTTTTAGTTTAAATTAATTCCTCCTTGTTCTAGCACTATTAGAATGTGTAAAAATTCAGTCTCCCTCATGCTTATAAGAATCACAGAATCACAGAATTGCAGGGGTTGGAAGGGACCTCCAGAGATCATCGAGTCCAACCCCCCTGCCAAAGCAGGTTCCCTACAGCAGGTCGCACAGTTAGGTGTCCAGGTGAGACTTGAACACCTCCAGAGAAGGAGACTCCACCACCTCCCTGGGCAGCCTGTTCCAGTGCTCCGTCACCTCACTGTAAAGAAGTTCTTGCACACATTTGTGTGGAACTTCCTATGCTGCAGCTTATGTCCATTTTCACTTGTCCTGTCTCCACGTACCACTGAAAAGAGACTGGCCTCACTGGCCTTGGCAAAGGATCATTTGGTGAAGTGTATAAAGGGGTCGACAACCGCACCAAGGAGGTGGTTGCTATCAAGATTATTGATCTGGAGGAGGCTGAGAATGAAACTGAGGACATTCAGCAAGAGATTGCAGTGCTCAGCCAGTGTGACAGTCCCTACATCACCCAGTATTATGGCTCCTACTTGAAGGGCACCAAGCTGTGGGCAATCATGGAGTACCTGGGAGGAGGTTCAGCCTTGGATTTGCTAAAGCCAGGGCCCTTGGAAGAGACTTACATAAGCTTTCTTCAAGCTGGAAGACCATGGTGAGGTCTTCCCAGAGCCTTCTCCTCTCCTGTTTAGACAAGGGCAGCTCTCTCAATCTTTCTTCATAGAACAGGTGCTCCAGCCCTCAGATCATCTTCATGGCCTCCCTCTGGATCCACTCCAACAGCTCTGCATTCTTCCTGTACTGGTGGCCCCAGATCTAGATGCAGTACTCCAGATGGGGCCTCATGAGAGCAGAGTAGAGGGGAGCAATCACCTCCCTCTCCCTGCTGGCTACTCCTTTTTTGGTGCAATTCAGGATATTGTTGGCCTTCCGGCCCACAAGCACACACTGCTGGCTCATGTCCAGCTTTTCATTCATTTGGGCCCTCGAGTCTTTCTCCACAGGGCTGCTCAAAATGTGTTCTTCTTCCAGTCTGTATTCATATCTGAGATTGTGCCAACCCAAGTGCAACTCATTGCACTTGGCCTTGTTGAATCCCTTTAGGTACTCATGGGTCCACTTTTTGGCCCTGCTCAGGACCCTCTGGATGGTGGTCTTTTCTTTTGTTTTGTCAACTGCACCACTCAGCTTGGTGCCATCAATAAACTTGCTGAGTACACTTAATCCCATGGCCATTGGCAAAGATGTTGAAGAGCACCAACTGCAAGATGAACCCCAGGGGGACACCACTCATTCCACCTGGACATTGAGCCAATGGTCTCTTGCTGTGACCATCCAACCAATCCTTTATCCATTAAATAGACCACCCTTCAAATCTCTCCAGTTTGGAGATAACAAGGTGGCAGGGGACCACGTCAAAGGCTTTGCACAAGTCCAGGTAGACCACATCAGTTGCCTTTGTCCACTGATGCCATCACTTCATCACTGAAAGCCACCAGACAGGCCAGCCATGACCTTCCCTTAGGGATGCTGTGATGGCTGTCTCAGATCACCTCCTTGAATGAAGAGATTGGCAATACACAGAAATACCAGTGAAAGTGCAGGTGTCAGAGAGATGATGAAGGGCCCATCCTCTAAGAGAGACCTGGGCCTGTAGAAGAGAAGGCTGAGGCAGGATCTGTTCATAAATATCTGAAGTGTGAGTGTCCAGAGGACGGGGCTGGGCTCGTTTTGGTGGTGCCCAGTGACAGGACAGGGACAACAGGCACACACAGGAAGTTCCCTAGGAATAGTGAGGGTGACATGGTACAGGAACGGGCTGCCCTGGCTGTGGAGTCTCCATCTCTGGAGACAGTCAAACCCACCTGCGTGCTTTCTACCGCACCCCAGTGTAGGGAACCTGCGGTAGCGGTCAGCAGTGATGTCACCGCTGCGCCATCCCACGCGAGGCCGCGCCGCCGCGCTACGAATCCCCCCGTGGACGGGCCCTTACCTGCCGCTGCCTGTCGCCCGCCTTAGCCGGCATAGCTCTGCGCACGGCTACGCCTCACGGCCACCACGCGCCTCTAACCGCCGCCGGCTGACCGGAAGTTGATAGCGGCAGCCATGGCAACGCGCCGGAAGCGGCCGCGGGACCGTTTCCAACCTTTCCCCGCTTCTGGAGACGCGGAGCGGTTACGTTCCGGAGGGCGGGGCCGGGCCCGGATGCTCTCGTCCCGGGGCCACGCCTCTTCAAATATGCAAAGACGAGGGCGGGGCGTCGGAGCCGGACCCGGAAGCGGTGCGGCTGAGTCACCGCGGCAGCGAGCGGCGGCGGCGATGAGGCAGCAGCCGCGCAGGGCGGCGGCGGCGGCAGTATCGGCAGCGGCAGCATCCTGAGGAGCCGAGCAGCCCGGCAGCGCGAGGAGCCCCGCGACCTTCCCGCCCGCCCCCGCCGCCACCATGATGGAGGAGATAGACCGGTTCCAGGTGCCCGCCGTGCGCGCCGAGATGCAGCCGCTGGTGAGGGGCGGGCGGGGCCGCGCCGTGCCCGGGAGCCGCCGCCGCTTCGCCTCAATGCGAGGGGGTGGGAAACGGCAGCGGAGGGGGGGGGCGGGCAGTGCCGGGGGGGCCGTTATGTAACGGCCATACCTCGGCGGCCGGCCGGGCGGGTGCTGCTGTGTCACGGCGGGGGGTGAGGGAACGGCGGGGAGGAGCGCTCCGTCGGGAGAGCTGCGCTCGCGTAAAGTTGTGCATCTCAAAATAAAGCCTGTGCGGGTGTGAGTTGGTTTTATTCTATTTTTCCTCACGCCGAGGGATGTCTTTGTGCTGGGTGGTTTTTGTTTTATTTTTTTTTTTTTTGTTTTCTTTTCTTTTTTTTTTTTTTTTTTTTTTCTCTCTTTCATTCCGGGATGTTTTGCGCTTTGATTGTGCTCAGGCGGTGAGCGAGCGGCGGAGACATGGGCACAATGGGTGCCTGCGCCTCGGGGAAACGCCGCTCCGCGCCTGGAGGGCTCGCTGTGCTGTGTGCTGTCCTGTGCTTTCCACCCACACCCCCCCCCGCACCGCCGGGATGCTGATTCCCTTTGGCACCTGGATGAGCCAATTCCATCCTTGTGGTGCGGGATGGGATGTTTGGAGAGCTGAAAGAGCCTTCACGAGATACGTGTGCAGATCCTCCTGATAGCAGGTGAGGGTGGGTCACTAGCAGGTCGCAATTAGCGTTTAGGATGCTTTCTGAGGCTGCTGGAACATCGGAGTGCTGGCAGCTTGGTGTTGGTGTATCTTGGTCTCTTGTTGCAGCTAAGCACCGAGAACAAAGCAAGTGCCTTGTGAACAGAAGGACCCTTCCTGTGAAGGTCTACAAACTTCTGACTGCTAAGAAAAATGCATTCCTTGTAGTGGGTCTTGACACGTTTTGAATGTATTTTTAGTTTTGTTTCTTTTTGTGACTATTGTTTGGTTCTTTAGCTGTAGCTTTCATGGCGGGGAAGAAAACTGTGCAAAGTGGGCTTGCTGCATGCCCTACTTTGTCCAGCAGAAGATATGGCAAGGCTGCTCCTTATTATTCCTGTTGCTGTGACAGTGAGAAGCTTTGGTAAATCTGCTGGCAGGCCAAAACAAAAACAACAAATACAAACAAATAAACAAAACAACCTACAAGCAGAGAAACAAACAAATGAAAAAAACACCTCTTAAACATTTTCTAAAACATTTGCAATTTTCTACACCCAGCAAAAACAGGAGAAGGTAGGATGGCATATCATGCATCAGTGATGGTAAGTTTAACTACGTTTCCTTCCCTTCTTCGGCAATCAGCAATTTGGAAAATGCCACAAAGAGATTTTACATATTTTTAGAAATTACTCCAAAGCCACATTCAAACAGGTTTTCTTCCTGTTCTTCAGAATTTCAGTTGACTTCTAAATGATGGTGTTTATAGTGAACGCTGATGTCTGTGATGGTCAGCTGCAGTGAGTGGGTGCTGTGAGATTCTTCCATGTGCCTGGAAATGCTGGCAATAGCAGCTCAGACACATGACATACAAAGCATTTTCTGCTTCGTAGCTCCTGGGTGGTACCTTGCAAGCAAGGATTGTTTCTTGTGAGAAACAGGAAGTTTGGAATTTGGCTGTAGTTTGCTATAGTAGTTTGCTTGGGCAACTGAGCTCTGCCCATGCTGCTGCTTCATTGTATGGTGGTTACTTCTTATGCCATTCCTCTTTATGCTTTAAAGTACAGAGTAACCTCTGCATCTCAGTCCAATTTAAAGGATGAAGATGTCTGACGGTATTTTCTGCATCTAAAGGGTTCAAGTAGAGCTAGTTTTCCAGATCTGACCTGAAAGCCAGGTTTCTTCAGAATTAGGAAATATATACAGCTGGTAAATGCTTAGGGAAAACTGTGTTTGAATATAGTCTGAAGCCTTTCCAAGCCCATGGAATGTCCAAACCTTCCCCTGATACGTTATTGATCGGGGTGACAGTGTTGATAAATTTGGTGAAAACATTTCCATGTTTTTTACTGTTTGGTTTTTTAGCTTCTAGCATTTGCACTGGGGAAGAAACCCATCTATTCAAGCTGATGTGCACTTATCGCATACCCTACTTGTTGAGTGTATCTTTGTCAAGCAAAGGCACAGTGTCCTTCCTGGGAGATGCTCAGAAGTCTTCTGGGCAGCTGTCTTTAGGGGTCTCTGCCCAAGGTGAGGCTTGGGCCAGGTGGCCTCCAGAGGTCCTGGAGTCTCAACCTCAGTCTCTGCAGTTCCCCTGACCTTCCTTCAGTTGCAGTGATGTGAAGCCATGAAGCAGTCATTCCCTTCCCCCTTTTCAGTTTGTCTGAATAAGCATTGCTGAGTCACACAAATTGTCTTGATTCTGCTTCAGTCCTTCAAATGTTTTATGGGAAGTGCTGTACTCTAATGCCAACCTGAGGAAAAGTGCAGTGCAGGTCTTAATGAGGCAGAGTTGTTGCAGATAGATGGGCAGGACGGCTGACAGACCCTGACTAAATGTTGCTAGTTCATAGGATCAGGTCATGCCCAGTGTTTCACATCTTTGCAAGACAGATTACTCCGCATATTTTGATTTTGTCGTACTACGTTCCATGAGAATAGGATGGTCCTGATTCCAGATTCCTGTCTTGGAGGCTGGTGGCTCTTGGCTTCCACCTCCAAAACAGCTGTGTCTTCAAATTAATAGAAAATTAATATACCTGGGGTCTTGTTTACTTCTAACACTTCAGTATCACGTCTGATTTATCATCATGATGTAAGCTCAACTGTGGAAACTCTGTTCCAATTATTTTCTCTTTCACAGAATCACCAAGGTTGCAAAAGACCTCCAAGGTGATCCACTCCAGCCATCCATCTACCACCAGTATTCTTCCACTAAACCATGTCCCTTAATACAACGTCTAAACATTTCTTGAATACAGATCTGATCTCTGTCTGGTCACAATCCTTCTGTGCTCACAAAAAAGAGCTCCCCAGTAGCTGCTGGGTAGCAAGTTATTTTCAGATAAGAACAGTTTCCAGCATGGCTGAGATGTGTAATGTGGTGAGGCCTCAAACTCAGTATTTCTGCAGCACTCACACAGTGAGGATGATGTGGAGGAAGAGCATTAAAGAGCTCTGAAATAGGAATGAGGAAGCGTGGAATTATTTGTAGGCCTACCTTACATGCTTTCCTTGTGATTTTATAAGCGCTTTGTGTGCTGTAGGCTAAACTCTTGCAAAATGCTTATTCTTCTTGTTAAAATGAAACGTACTGAGCAAAATGCAGTGGGATTACATGTTGGATTCTGCTATGTGGAGACCTTCCCAAACTGGCTGGTGTATGATAGCAAACTGATGGTACTGGATTGGACATCACTCTTGCAGTTGCTGTTCTTAGCATGAAAACACAAGAGTAAAAGTGCAAAAGGTCATCACTATGACTTTTCCTTAAAGTAAGCACCTGCCAAAGCACAGCAGCTTCAGAGGAGATTTTCTGCCAACTGCTGAGACTTTGGCTTCATTTGTGAAAATGGTACCTGAAAGACAATATTTTAATTTCCCAGTTCTCTTGAAATCTCCCAGTTCACTTGGAAAATGGAACCTCTCTTCAGACAAATTGGGCTAATGGTTCTTATATGTTGTTCTGAACTGTTATGGCCTGGTTGGTTTCCTGGGCTGGCAGCTTGAGTTCTGATTACTGATGTAACCAAAGGATTTTTATTAACCACATCCTGCAGCAACACTGTTGGCTTTCCAACCAAAATGCCAAATCTGTGCTGATCCTGGAGGTGTAAAATTTCCAGGACATTTAAAGATAGAGAAATTGTGTTTCTACATTGTTTTTTTTTTTTTTTCCCCTGAAAGTCCAAACCAAAAGCAGAAAAGAAAAGAATTGTCCAATTTTTTTTTTTTTTTAATTCTTAATTTTTCAAGAATGAGCTATAATTTTAGCCGACAGATATTCAGTGTTTCATGTCCCTATTAAATGTGTTCTTAGTTTTTGGTAATATTGACTATCTCCTGCCAGGGAAGTTATGCTGTGTATTAAGGTCTTTTTTTTTTTTCCTTCCAGCTGGAAATAGAAAAGCAAGAGTTACTAATAAGCAAAATGAAAGGTTATACCTGTAGGGCTTAGGAATAGTACGTTAATGTAACATTAGGTCTCCAGTGCAGCTAGACAAGAAACTCATCTTTTTAGAAGGAAAAGCCTTCTAAAATGAAAATGTCATTCCTATGTATATTCACTGTAACGTAGCCAGGGGCTTACACAGCTATATGTTTTGTAAATGCCTGCAGTACGTGATGCTTATAATGGCCCATTACTATGAGTCCTGAAATAGAAATATTCCAGAGGAGCTGCTTTTAGTTACGCAACCTGTTTTGATGTGCTGCAGTGTCATTTATAGCAGTAGTTTTAAAAACAATCTCCCTGAGTACTTTTGTTCCGTTGTGGTTGTTCCCACGTATTGTATCAGGCCTGTAGTGTGTAGGTATAGGACCAATTTCGTTCTTCCCCCAAGCCAAGGAAAAACTGGAGCAGTCATTCTAGCGCCAGCTCTCAGGCGGCTGCTGTGAGGGTGACCTGTTGGGGTGCACGAGCTCCGACTCTCTGGGCTTCTTCTTTTCCATTGCTTTGCACGAACTTTCAAATGCAGTTGTTCTGTCAGTCAGGTTGGGAGATCCTATTCTGAGTGAAGTGTTAAAGGAGAGGTGCTTTGAACTTAACTGAGAATTAAACTTGCACAATCTCTTGGGATTCTTCCATACCTCCCAGGAGCTCATTATCTGTAGCTTGATATTAATATCTACTGTGACACCATCTTCTGGTGCAGAAATTGGTGTATATTCTCTCAAGCAGTAGTAATGTCAGGTCAGTAAGGAATCAGTCAAGATGAGCACATTTCCAGGGCAAGAGAGGAAATGCCTTTACTTCTGCAGCTTTCATCCAAAGAAAGCTCTCAGCTCACCATGGGGCTGTAGAGCACGTGTGTCCTTGCTGGATCTGTGTCGTCCTTGCTGTCAAACTG